GATTACAGGGCTCCCAGAAGTTTCCCTGTCGGGGCTGGAAACCTGGGGGGATGGGTGCGGCGGGAGACGAGGGCTCCCGCCGAGGGACTCTGGGTGAGCGCCCACCCTCTTGCTTCTCGCCCGTGGGAGGGGATCCCCTCCCCCGTTCGAGGGCAGAGGTGAGGCTGAGACTGTGTCGCCTGGCTTTGTGCTGGCAGCAAGGCTTGAAAATGCCTCGGTTGGCCGCCTGGATGGATGGGGTGGGGGTGTCGGTCTTCTCTCTAGTTCTCGCTCCTCCACAGTCCCTTCCTGGCTGCTGACGGGTCGCCGAAAGTGGCGAAGTTGGCAGATAAAGAGAGTTGTCCTAACGCAGTAATCACACGCACAGGTCCATACCTTGAGGGCTCGGCTGTGGTCCTCCGGACGCTTCCGAAAGCGTCGCTTCTCCACAAACCTCTCCCCAGCCTAGCCCTGATGGTGGAACCCATGGCTCAGGCGATCGACACAGCGAAGAGGGAAGGATTAGCATCGCCAAGGAGTCTTCCCTGGAAACCCAAGTTATCAGTCCCCTTGGACCTTTCCACCAGCGGCTGCTCCTTCGAAAAACACATCAACAAACAAACACTGTCCACAGACAGATCCCAGCAGCCGTGGAGAGAACTGAGGCAGGGGTAGGGAGTGGAGGGCAAACAGGGGCAGAGAAGGCGAGGGGCAAGTGCTAGGCAAGCGGATTATGTTACATTTCCTCCCATTACCAGACTTCCAGGAGGACAGACCTCGGTTGGTGCATAAAATGCATACCCTGAAGTGGATAAGACTCTGAAAGCGGCATTTGAGGAGGTTAACCTTGACTGGTTGGAGTTAAGGGCGGGTGGGGGGAGGCAAATATTTCTGTTTGTGCCCTCCGGTTCTTCCCAGCACCGGCTGTCAATCCCGACGCTTGTTATCCTCACAAGGCTTCAGTTTGTTTGCCTGATCTCAGCAAGGTTTTCTTCCACAAGTAGAACTATAATTGCTATAATTCTACTGTATCATTTGGATCATTGCAGTATTGTTGTTTTCTCTCCCTCTTTCTCTCCTCCTAACACTGCAGTAACGCGCTCCAGTGTTAAATTAGCAGGTTGCGGAAAGACCATAAATGAATGAAAGTTTGTTTAAAAAAAAAAGAAATTAAATAAATAAAACAGCAAAATGACTTGGCAAAGGGGATATCACATCACAGAGAATCCTCCAGTGTAATCAGGACTTATTGTCTTCCCTTCCAATGGCTTCCAAATTGGTCGCCAGACTCCAATGAAGTTTATTTCTATTGTTTAAATATATGTTTTGAAGAGGTTGAACATAATTTAAGGGGACCTGAGCTGTCCGGTGTGGCTGGAAGCCCATTACAGCTTTATTTATCTATGTGTCTATTGTACAATAAATTAAAACATCTCAAATGAAAAGTGTGCAAGGTTAACTCTTCTCCAAACATTTTCCCCTGTATAATGACATCTAACTGCCACCCCCTTATCCAGTATTTCTCGCAAATACAATTTTGAAACTACAATGTAGAATTAGCTCTCGCCACAGAAAAGAAAGGAGTTTCTTCCATTTGCCTCTTCTAGGTAATTATTATTTCCAGTCCTGGGGACAAGCCTCATTTTTTGCCACAAACAACAGTTTTAAACACTTCTGACCCTCACTTCCAGCCATAATTGTCATTTTTATTTTAGTGATTGATTTTTAGAGCAGATGAACTGCCAACCATTGTTTTCCAGGCAGCTGAGGAAAAGAAAACCAGCAGTTACAGACCCCCAAAGACTAGAGGAGCCAGGAGTTGCGAATAATCAAGTACAAACGTGAATAATAGCATCGCTAATATGAAATTACTTTTGATTAGAGGGTAGAAGAAAGTGAAGAAAGTGAGGTGAAAAGAAAGTGAAGTGTCATTTTGCTGAGAGAGTAAATATTAAGTTAGCTAAACTAAAAGTTCTTTCGTACAGTCTTATAGCCCAATTCTCAAAAGTCTACCTACAAATCAAGCAAATTCTTCCTAAATATTAGAGGCATCATTTGTTTTCTAAAATAACACACAGGATAACACACAGACATCTTAAACCCATATTCTGATTAGACACTGTGGAGATGCCAGCAGATTCTGTCTCTCTGTGGGTATGTCAGAAAAGTTTTCAGTCTTTATTTGTAATTTAATCTTTCAGAAATAGCAGAGTCAGTTGTAGATTTTGAAGTTGGGTATTGAATTGTGACAAAGATCGTTTTACGGCTGCTGGATGTAAAGTGAGCTGGGTCAGGCCCTTCTCCCTGAAGTGAAGGGACCTACGTTTCTAATAGCATCCTCACTTGGGAAGATTGATTAGAAAATACCAAAAATAAACAAAATAACAAACAAAGCTAATGTTTTCGCACAGGTTTCCCAAAGAAACACATTATTATATGCCATTAATAGAATTAGATTTAATTCCAGGGGTCATTAAGTTAGAATCTGAAATTCTATGTTAACCTCCCCTTTTACAGTGGATGATTAAAATTAGAATACACCCCAGCAGAAAGTCCGACTTCTGGTTTTTTTTTTAGAAAAAGGAGAACAGCTGCAGAAGGGGGAGGAGGAGGATGGAAGCAAAGAAATCTTCCACAGAGAGAGTTGAAACCCCGTTAGGTTCTCAGAAACGATTCGTGTCTCTATTTCACAGGATCTTTTTTGGACTCAGTTTCAGCCCACTCCCTGCGTGTGCGGAGCCGACTCTGAAGTGATGGAGCCACCGGGCAGCCGGGTCTTGTAGATTTCCGACGCGGGGCCCGCCAGGGAGGTAAAGGTGCCTGTGTCTCTCGCAGCGACCAGCCGCAGGGACGCCCGTGAGGGTCCGCGGCTGGAGGCTCTGGAGAGACGGCTGCGTCTTTATGCCTCTCGGCTGTGCTGAGATCCGCACGCCAAGGGCGGGCTCTCTGGGTCCCGGGAGGGAAGGGGGAGGGAATCAGCGCGCAGAAGGTTAGTTTAAAGCTGACCAGGACAGTATAAAAACACCAAACTGTGGGTGAGGATGGAAAAAGAAGAATGCAGGAAAGGCAGAAGATCCCAGGTACCCTGTAACAGCAGAGAGGGCTTAAAAGAAAAGCAAATGTCAGAGACAGTTGAGGTTCTCCTCCGCCCCCCATCCCCATCATCCAAGGGTGGGGAAAAGTGGTGAAAATCACACTAAAATCCAGAGACAGAGACAGCGAGAGACACAGAGCAGGACAGAGAGAGACATCCTTTCCCGCTTGCCTTCAATAGTAGAATATCAGCATTGGTATTAACATTATTAGTGTGCCTGTTCCCAACCCTTCATCCCACTCAAGTTGTCTTGAATGCTCCTGCCAAGCCAGCCCGCTCTGTCTGCCACCCACCCACCAGCATCCAAGAGTTATGCAGATGTTTATGGCTGAAAAAAATCCCAGTTATGCATCCCTGTATTTTAAAATACCGACTGTAAGTGATTCAAGTATAATCCTTTGTAAAATGCTTTTCTCTTTGACACATTGAAGGGGTTGAGAGGGGAAAACCCGGCGTGGATTCCCCCTTCCTGGCCCATCTCCCACCCACCACCCTCGCCCCCACCCTACCAGCGTCGGTGATCCTGGCTGTCCCTTGGGCCGTGCACCCAGGCCAGGAGGGCATCCTCCCGGGCTGGGCCCAACTTCGGTTCAAGTTGGGTCTTGGTTCTCAGCGCTGGACGCTCAGGAAGCTGCTTGGGAAGAAACGCGCTCTCCCTCAGGCTCACTCTCTCACCTATGGGAACCAGGCCATGAGAATTCTGAATTTTAGGCGCTTAGATTTGGTTGAAGCGAACCTAGGTCCCTCCTACCCTGGAGCGCTCCCCCCATCCCCACCCACGGCATGTTCCGCTCCCAGCACGCGATTTGAGAGTGTCCAGCCTCTGGGCGTTAGCCTAACCGTGGCGAACTTGTTGAGGGCGAAGAGGGAAGCGAGTCCAGGGAGAAGGGGGAGACTTCCAAACCCGTCCCCAGCTTCCCTGCCTCGCAGCCGACACTTGCCTGTGTCTTTCCGTCCTGTAGTTTAAGGCCGCGCGCCTCTCGCAGAGATTTGTCTTTAAAGGGACTTTTTTTTTTTTTTTTCAGTGACAAAGGAGATGACAGAGGTTCGGGGACGCTACTAACAAGAGAGCAACCGCCGGGCTCAGGGTGAAGACCGACAGCTAGCTCAAGGCATTGGGCCACGAGAGAAAACTGAACGTCCTAATGAGAGATGTTTTCTTGCGGCCGTCGCCCTGGCACCTCGGAGGCCCGTCCAGCCTAAAGAGGACAGCGACTACATGCCACCGAGGTCAAGGCGCTGTCCTGGGAGCGCAATACTGGCTTTGAAAAGTGCCAAGTCCATCTGAACTCGAGCCTCAAGGTCTCACCACCAGGGAGCGAAGACCTCCGGTGAGTGGAAGGGGCGCAAGTCTCCCAAGTGGTACCCACAGGCCTGACATCCGAGTAAGTTAGAGCTTCGGCCAGAGCTAAAGGGATAAAGGAGGAGCTGCAGGAGCAGGATGGAAAACTTAGAAAGTTGTTGGTTATAATAAAAAAAGCAAAGAAAAGAAAAAGAAAAAGAAAATTGGCTCGCGGTGGTGCCCACTGCCCGCACTCCTCCCTGCGCCGGCCTTTCCGGAATCCAGTCCAGGCTTTGCGCTGAGCCCACGGCCCGGCCCAGCCCGGCCTCTGGCGAGAGCCAATCAAAGGGCGCCTCTCAGCACGTGGAGGAGAGAGACTCCAGAGCTCCGCGCCCGCTGCTCACTACACTTGTTACTGCTTGTCCTGAACGCCGAGAGGGCGAGCTCTGGCCGCGGGCAGGGCGGGAGCCGGCAGCCAGCAACCGAGGAAGGCAGAGAGGCACAGAGATCGAAATAATATCTATTATAAGCCATCTAACTAACCCCCCCAACACACACACACACACACACACACAATCCATCTCACCCGCCAGGAGAGGCAGCTAGCTGCTCGCTCTCTGTGCCCAGGGAAAAAGCCCTATAGCCATGAGCAATCAGTATCAGGAGGAGGGCTGCTCGGAGAGGCCCGAGTGCAAAAGTAAATCTCCAACTTTGCTCTCCTCCTACTGCATCGACAGCATCCTGGGCCGGAGAAGCCCTTGCAAAATGCGGCTGCTAGGAGCTGCGCAAAGCTTGCCCGCCCCGCTGGCCAGCCGCGCCGACCAGGAAAAGGCCTTGCAAGGTAAGGCTGCGCCCGCCAGACACCTGCAAAGGGCTCTGGGCACTAATTTGGATGTTAGATGATCCGGGGCCAGGGGCCTGGGGTTGTCAAGCTGGAGACAGAAGAAAGAGAGGGAACTCTGAGGCCTGGTGCCTCAAAGAGCGATAAACACCTCGCTCGGGGCTGTCTCTCCCTCCCTCTCTGCTTCCAGAAAAAGCAGAGGCCAAGCTTCGCATCAGGGCCCCTTAGGTTCTTGCTGTTGGTGTTTGGGTCATTTAAATGCCCCCTTTGGTGGCCTTGGGGGTGCTCTGAAGAGGGGCGACAGGTCAGAAACAGCGGGTGCCGGTGGACCCTTGTAACAACTTGGTGCAGATAAGAACCCCAAAAGCTGTGAGTGGGGGTGTCCAGGCAGAGTAAGCCTTGGCCTGTCCTCTTTGGAAGATTTCTTTAAACGCGGTTGGTTTGCTTTTTTTTTTTTTTTTTTTTTTAAGAAATTGTAGATTACTTGTATCCTTTTAAACACAACCTTTGCAAAAAACATCTTCCTCTGATTCCCCAAATGCTGCTTATTGTATTTGAAATGTATGAAATGTGCGGCTTCTGGGTGCTATTTTTTTCTCTGCTATGTTATTTTTTTAAAATAGAGTCAAGATGTTTAAAAGGTTTTCTTTTTTTCCTAAAATTAAAAATTCCAGAACAACTGTTGTTTTGCCCGAACCTGCTATGTTTAAGTTTCGCCTTGAACTGGCTGCAGAGGTGTCGCAGCTAAAGAATTGTTGATTTCTTTTAAAATCCGAAAACCAGCGGTCCAGCCGCAGAGGCAATTGGAAGACAAGAGTGGACGGCTGACACGGGGCCATTTAAAATAAAACTGACTTTTTCCTTTTCTTTTTTTAGCCTGCAGTGGCACCTGTGCCAGGCACTTCCTCGAAGGGAAGGAGCGGCCTGTGCCTGTTGCACCCCCTCTGCCCCTACTCAGGCCCTTCCGAGCCCATTTTCGCCAGGACGATTTTTCATTTTCTTTCTGGGCAAGGAGCCCCCGCCCTCTCAGGCTGCTGGCTGTTGGGGCGCGACCCACGCTCAGGGCCAGTGGGCCGCTCCCCCCACCCCCGGGGGTCGCCCTTCTCGCTAGCCTGGGCCAGCATGGCAGAACCGCGGACAGAGGTCATTCGCGAAGTTTTTCAGGGGGCTGGTCATTTTTTTAAAAAAGTTGTCGAATGTCTTTAGATTCTCCCCTGCCCTGAAATGGAAAGGGGAAAAACGTGGGAGAGAGGGCAAGGGGAAAGAATAAGAAAGAAATAAAGGAAGGAAGAAGGAGGAGGGTGTGGGGAAAGCGCGCAAAAAGAGGAAGGAAGGAAAAGTGAGAGGAAAGCGGAGGAAAGAAAGACAGCGACTGGGAGAGAAAGAAAAAGCGAAAGAGAGACGAAAGGATGGAATTGAAAGAGGTAAAGGTGGAAGAAAGGAAATAAAGAGAAGAGCAGGAGAGGAAAAGGAAAGAAGGGAGGGACGGAGAGGAGAGAAGGAGAAAATGAGGAAAACAAGACAAAGCGGGTGGGAGAGAAAGATGTAAAGAAGAAGAAAAAGCTAGAAAAGTGCGGAAGGAGCAGAAGAGGTTGAAGTGTGGTGTCGCGCGGGGGCCGTGCGCGGCGGGGCCCAGGCGCCGAGAGGACAGTGGCAAGCCGGCCCAGGAGACGGCTCTGCCTAAGACGCCTGGCTGGCCGGAGCG